AAAAAAAAAAGAAAAAAAAAAAAACCAAGAAGAAAAGAGAATAATTATAATAGGCTATATAGATATACAGTTATTTACATTTTACTGTCTATTCAAAGGAATTTTCCTTAGATTAATGCCTTTGAGTCCTGACTTTAAGGGATATGTAGCGTAATTCACTGACATAAAAACATATATGATATGTTCAGAGAACCTGAGAGTAGGTGATGTAAATTTAGTAATAATTCTCATAGCTATTAAAGTTCCTCACATATTTACAACTGGAACCATTTTAACTACTCAAAATCCGTCCACAATAGAGTTCACATGTCTGGGTATGATAGATAAAAGGCAGGGGATATCAGAAAGTGGAGGTCTATGAGTCATTAATTTTTTTTTTATATCTACCTTCCTTGTAAGCATATTGCATGAGTAAAAGGTTGAAAGGTGAAATTGACTTAAAAAATGAATTCTGAGCATTGTTTATTCACATAGAATAAAAAAATACTATTTATAATATAATGAGGTTTTAGTTTTGGTTTTTATTGTATGGGAAAAATGTAGTCTGTAGGAATTAGGGTACTAAATATAGACAAGCTAATAACCTGAGAAATTTTGCCCATTTTTTTTCCTGAGAAACAAGCCAAAACAATCTAGATTATTAATTATTCAGGTATTTACTGAATACTTCACATATATGAGCCTATTTCTATTCTTTTATATTCTTTAGCTTATCATTTAATTGAGATAAAAACAAGATACATAAAATAATTAAGGAAAAATTTAAGTGCTAAGCTAAGTGGTGCTGACTCTAAGGTATTTTAGGAATTCAGAAAGGAAGATATCAATGTGGAATGCAGAAGCTGGGAAAACTTCATGGAAGAGGCTGGACATTAGTTGGGCTGTAAGAAAGGGTAAAATTTAGATGCACAAAGGATGGGTGTTCCAAGTAGAATTAATAGTTGGAGCAAAGACATAAAAGTAGAAATTAGTATACATGGAAAATGATAAGACCAGCTTGACTGGAGCAGAAATTGTATTTTGGAGTCATAGGTTTCATTTTTTGTTTTTGTTTTTGTTTTTGTTTTCTTTAACATATTTACAAAAAGTCTTGCACAAGCAGAAGATTTTATAGTTGGTTTGTCAGATTATGGAGAACAGTTGGAGTGAACTGTAAAAATAGTAAAAAGTGAAATAGTAAAAATGGTTTCTCTGGAAGATAAATGTCACACAAATCAGAGTGGATGGAATTTGTAGCAGCCTGAGCTCGCCAGAACACAGACTGAGATGGAGTTTAGTGTGCCAGTGTTTACTGGGGAAAGCTTTTCTGTCAATGCCTCCAGACTTTATAATGTCCTCTTCCACTTCTGCCTCAATCACTCATGTGATGTGGACTGTCCTGAGGTAATCCCTAAAGGAGCTGACAGCACTCTCAGTAGCTGGGGCAACAGGTCCTTTCCTGAAGGAGGATATTGGTGGCTCATCATCATGCCACCTTAGAGAGAACTTAAAGAGGGTTATTGATACTATTAATAGTATTTTTTTTTTTCTCAAGACGGAGTCTTGCTCTGTTGCCTAGGCTGGAGTGCAATGGCGCCATCTTGGCTCACCTCTGCCTCCTGGGTTCAAGTGATTCTCCTGCCTTAGCCTTCCGAGTAGCTGGGATTATAGGAACATACCACCACATCTGGCTAATTTTTTGTATTTTTAGTAGAGATGGGGTTTCATCATATTGGCCAGGCTGGTCTCAAACTCCTGACCTTGTGATCTGCCTGCCTCAGCCTCCCAAAGTGCTGGGATTACAGGCGTGAGCCACCATGCTTGGCCGGATACTATTAATAGTATTATTATCCAGTTCTGAAAGCCTGGAGAGAGTTGTGGAGAATAAAGAAAATAAAGAAGCCAGGATATATCCAATCCAGGACATGTCCAATATAGGAAATGTCTATATACTTTTTTTTAAGTTATATTTAAAATGCAAATTTTAGGCCAGGCATGGTGGCCCATGCCTGTAATCCCAGCACTCTGGGAGGCTGAGGCGAGCAGATCACCTGAGGTCAGGAGTTCAAGACCGGCCTGGCCAACATGGTGAAACCCTGTTTCTAATAAAAATACAAAAAGAAAAAAAAAATTAGCTGATCATGGTGGGACTACACATGTAGTCCCAGCTACTCAGGAGGCTGAGGCAGGAAAATCGCTTGAACCCAGGAGGTGGAGTTTGCAGTGAGCTGAGATCATGCCACTGCACTCCAGCCTGGGTGACAGAGCAAGATTCTATCTCAAAAATAAATAAATAAATAATATAATATAAATTTTATAGTTAATAGCAACCTTTCCCCAGGTAGTGTCAGAAAAAAACATAGCAACCTTATTATAGTTAATTTTTCCTGTGATTATCTGAACTGAAAAAATAGAAAATAACTAGGATAGTAAAAAATCTGGAAATTATGTCACAGAGAAGGACTTTGGGATCTAGGAATCACTGACTCTGAAAGAAAAAAAAAAAAGCAGAAAACTAGAAAAACCAGTGATAATCATTGTGTTGTAGAATTATTCTCTACCCAAATCTTAATCACTAAAGCCTACCTTCAAAGTTGACACAATGTTTTTCCTAATACCACGTGTTAAGTGTTCTATAAAAGGAAGGAAGGGAAGTAAGGAGAACAAGTAGCTCTAGGCCAATGAGAGAAAGTTTTAAGGAAATAAACTGTCAGATAATTAAAGCTATTCAAATGCAAATGAGCTTCTGAGGTAGCGGAGCCTTTCACTGGGAGCAAAGACCTTGTAAAGTCATTCAAACATACTACACAGAACATTTCTGCACTGAGAGGGAGGAAATTATTCTGAGTAAATTTTAAAATCCTTTACAGGTATAACATTGTGATTTAAAGTGTTCAGTGACTTTGGGATGGCCGCAGACATTTACTCTTTTTTATGTAATAAAATATGCAAACTTTTAAAAATAAAGTGGCAGTATACTTTTGATTTTTGTTATAGGGATTCCATAATAAAGTTTGATTATCTTGGATTTTTCACTCTTTTTAGCTACTGGCTTTTGCAAAGAATTTGAATGTAGAATTCAGCTTGGAAGCAGAAAGAATGATTCATGGCTATTATCTAGCAAGTCGAAGAATCAGAACTGACTCTATATGTGGATCAAAACTGTCAGCATCTGCATTAAAATATCTGTAGGTATTTAATTCAAGATTTTAAAGTCAGCATTGACTTTCAAATGATATGTTTAATTAAATTACTAATTTATCTATTTCACTTTTTTCTCTGCTTGATTGCTAGTTGGTCGGTTTATAAATGACCTTGTTCCAAAAAGACTAAAGGCTTCACAATTTCTTTTCTTATATCATGTTTCATCATTTTAATCTCTAACAATTTTTTTACTAAATTAATTTTTATTGGATGCCATGTAGGAGATGTGTCTGAGAAAAATCCACTGATTTCAAATACAAATCCTTGTTTTTAAAAATGTGGCCAGGCACAGTGGCTCATGCCTGTAACCCCAGCACTTTAGGAGGCTGAGGCAGGCGGGTGGCTTGAGCTCAGTTCAAGACCAGCCTTGGGGCTGGGTACAGTGGGTCACACCTGTAATCCTAGCAGTTTGAGAGGCTGAGGTGGGAAGATCACTTGAGTGCAAGAATTCGAGACCAGCTAGGGCAACATAGTGAAACTTCATCTCTATTAAAAAACAAAAACAAAAACAAAACAAAAAACAAAACAAAACAAAACAAAACAAAACAAAACAGGGCAGCCTGGGAAACATGATGAAACTCTGTCTCTACACAAAATACAAAAAATAAGCTGTCCTGGTGGCAGGTGCCTGTAGTCCCAGCTACTCAGGAAGTTGAGGTGGAAGGATCACTTGGGCCCATGAGGTGGAAGTTGCAGAAAGCCTAGACATGCCACTTTACTCTGGCCTGGGCGACAGAGTGAGGCCCCCTCTCAATTAAAAAACAAAACAAAACAAAACAAAAAACCGGGCTCAGTGGCTTATGCCTGTAATCCCAGCACTTTGGAAGGCCAAGGCGGGGAGATCACTTGAGGTCAGAAGTTTGAGCCCAGCCTGGTCAACATGGTGAAACCCCATCTCTACTAAAAAAATAAAAGATAAATTAGCTTGGCATTATGGCACATGCCTGTAGTCCCAGCTACTTGTGAGGCTGCGGCGGGAGAATTGCTTGAACCCAGGAAACAGAGGTTGTAGTGAGCCAAGATTGCACCACAGCACTCCAACCTGGGTGACAGAACTAGACTGTCTAAAAAGAAAAGTAGCTGCATCACAGCTTCACTGTGTTGTGATGTAGCTGTATTATAATTTAAACAGTCCCCTATTGATAGAATATTACTTTATTTGATATAGTATTATAGTCTCAAAATAATTATGAAGTAGAACCAGGAGTAAAATAATTTATTAAATAAATAAATATATTGTTAAAACTGCAATATAAAATAAGACAGATGAAGAACTGGCAGAAAATGTCAAGTATAAGTCTGTAAGATTTAGATATGTTTAATTAATTTCCCTAACTGTATATTTATCTTCACAGAGCTGAAAAATGCTAAAGATAAGCCAAGTAGAAGTCGACTCTTTGATAAATGTTTTAAAATGGTAAACAGAATTATATGTTGCCTTCTGTTTTCTGAATATTTAAAATACTCATATCAAATTAAACTGTTTGCTTTATTTATTATATTATTATTATTATTATGAGATGGAGTTTCACTCTTATTGCCCAGGCTGGAGTGCAATGGCGCAATGTTGGCTCACTGCAACTTCTGCCTCCCAGGTACAAGTGATTCTCCTGTCTCAACCTCCCAAGTAGATCAGATTACAGGAATGTGCCACCATGCTCGGCTCAATTTTTTGTATTTAGTAAAGATGGGGTTTCACGATGTTAGTTAGGCTAGTTGCGAACTCCTAACGTCAGGCGATCCACCTGCCTCGGCCTCCCAAAGTGCTGAGTGGTGTGTGCCACCACTCCTGGCCACTATTTGCTTTAAAAGTTCTATTTTCTTATAATATTATTTTCTCTGTAGTAAAAATATGTTTTGTATTTGTAATTCAGTTTACATATGAGTATGTTGATTCAAAAATAGTTAATTTTAATATGATAACTCTACTTTTTCACATTGAAGAAATAATAAACATGGTTTGTGAAATAGCAGAGTAAATGAACCCCTAGCTAGAAGAGTGATAAACCTTGAATTTTTCTCCCATTTCTACCGACAGATACCTAATCACAAGCATCTTTGGTTTTCTAGAGAAGTGGAGCTGAACAATACTTTCTTTGTCTCTGAAAGGCTCTATACATATTCTATCCTGGTTAACATTTTTAGAAGGATCTTGGATGAGGACATCAAAGACATGATAATTACATTTATAAATGAGCAATATTGGAAAGAACTTCATAAGCTTGAATTGTGATCTTAATCTAACAAGAAGAAAGTTAACAGGATAAATGTAAAGCTCTCTGTTAGAAGCCTAGACTCCCTAGTATCAGTGTGAATTGATGAGAAAATGGTAATGTGGCTTAATATGAAAAGATATGAAAAGGATTTGGTATTTCATTCTTTTTATGTTTAATAAGAGTAAATAATATAATATGGCTATTAAAAATACTGAGAGTTGGGGTCATATTAATAAAATATATATCACGAGCAACAAAACGCTAGTTATGCCTCACCTCTACTGTGGTGGTCAAATCCCCTGTCATACTGTATGACATGAGGTCATGAGGAGAGTAGCCAGCATGGTGAGGAGCTGAAAATTATGTCTCATAACATAGGAAAGGAATTAGAAATATTTGGAGGAAAGAAAACCTGGAGCAATAGAAAAGTTATCTTTGAAATCTGAAGAGCATCATATTAAGAGGTATCAGAAAACAGAACAAGAGACCTGTGGGTAGAAATTGCAGTGAAACTAATTTCAGCTTAGATTGATAGAATCTTGGTTATAGTTAGTTATAGTTATAGTTAGTTGCAAAACTTTCAAATGCCCTTACTTATCTCCCTTTTGTAGCTGAGTTTCAAAAAATCTTATACATTAAATGATTTATGTAAAGTCATACAGCTAGTAAATTCCAGAGACTCAGCCTAGGTTTTCTGATTCTCAAGTTCAGCAGTCATTCAGGTACATCACATTTGCTTAAAGGAGATCTTTCAGGTAATGGAAGCTGGTTGAAAAATTAAAAATAAAGGAATGGATTGCCTCATGTAGCCATGAATGCTAGGAGAAGTCCAAAAGAGATGGGAAAATGAATAGCCCAGGATGTTGTACAGAAAATTTAGTTTTCTGATGAAAGTTTGAACTTTGAATTCTAAGATCCCTTCCAACGCTGAAATTGCAAACAAACATCTTGCAAATGTATGAGGATTTTAGATAAAATCAAAAGTCAAGGATTTGTCTGTAAAAGATATTTAGTTAGATTAATTTTCCCAACTGTGTATTTATCTGAACAAAACTTGGGGAGGGGAGTGTGGAATGATAAATGAATGCCAGGATGAAAACCAACTCTTTTATTGTTAATAATATTATACTCTAAGTTATGGGGTACACATGCAGATCTTACAGGATTGTTACATGGGTATATACATGCCATGGTGGTTTGCTGCCTCCATCCCCCTGTCATTAGGTATTTCTCCTAATGTTATCCCACCCCAAACCTCCCCACCCCCAGCTATCCCTCCCCTAGCTCCCCAACCCCCAACAGACTCCAGTGTGTGATGTTCCCCTCCCTGTGCCCATGTGTTCTCATTGTTCAACACCTACTTATGAGTGAAAACATGTGATGTTTGGTTTTCTGTTCTTGTGTCAGTTTGCTGAGAATGATGGTTTCCAGATTCATTCATGTCTCTGCAAAGGACATGAACTCATCCTTTTTTATGGCTACACATTATTCCACGGTGTATATGTGCCACATTTTATTTATCCAGTCTATCATTGATGGGCATTTGGGTTGGTTCCAGGTCTTTGCTATTGTAAACAAGGCCTCAGTGAACATACATGTGCATGTGTCTTTATAATAGAATGATTTATAATCCTTTGGGTATTTACCCAGTAATGGGATTGCTGGGTCAAATGGCATTTCTATTTCTAGATCCTTGAGGAATCGCCACACTGTCTTCCACAATGGTTGAACTAATTTACACTCCCTCCAACAGTGTAGAAATGTTCCTGTTTCTCCACATCCTCTCCAGCATCTGTTGTCTCCAGATTTTTTAATGATCGCCATTCTAACTGGTGTGAGATGATATCTCAATGTGGTTTTGATTTGCCTTTCTCTAATGACAAGTGATGATGAGTTTTTTTAATATATTTGTTGGCTATATAAATGCCTTCTTTTGAAAAGCGTCTGTTCATATCCTTTGCCCACTTTTTGATGGAGTTGCTTGTTTTTTTCTTGTAGATTTGTTTTATTTCTTTGTAGATTCTGGATATTAGTCCTTTGTCACATGGGTAGCTTGCAAAAATTTTTTTCCCATTCTGTTGGTTGCCAGTTCACTCTAATGATTGTTTCTTTTGCTGTGCAGAAGCTCTTAAGTTTAACTAGATCCCATTTGTCTATTTTGGCTTTTGTTGCCATTGCTTTTGGTGTTTTAGTCATGAAGTCCTTGCCTATGCCTATATACCTGAATGGTATTGCCTAGGTTTTCTTCTAGGGTTTTTACAGTGTTAGGTCTTACGTTTAAATCTTTAATCCATCTGCAGTTAATTTTTGTACAAGGTGAAAGGAAGGGGTCCAGTTTCAGCTTTCTGCATGTGGCTGGCCAGTTTTCCCAACACCATTTATTAAACAGGGAATCCTTTCCCCATTGCTTGTTTTTGTCAGGTTTGTCAAAGATCAGATGGTTATAGATATGCAGCCTTAATTCTGAGGCCTCTGTTCTGTTCCATTGGTCTATAATTCTGTTTTGGTACCAGTACCATGCTGTTTTGATTACTGTAGCCTTGTAGTATTGTTTGAAGTCAGGTAGCATGATGCCTCCAACTTTGTTCTTTTTGCTTAGGATTGTGTTGGCTATGCAGTCTGTCTTTTGGTTCCATATGGAGTTTAAGGTGTTTTTTTCCAGTTCTGTGAAGAAGGTCAATGGCAGCTTGATAGGGATAGCATTGAATCTATAAATTACTTTGGGCAGTATGGCCATTTTCACAATATCGATTCTTCCTAACCATGAGCATGGAATGCTTTTCCATCTGTTTGTGTTCTCTCTTATTTCCTTGAACAGTGGTTTGTAGTTCTCTTTGAAGAGGTCCTTTCCATCATTTGTTAGTTGTATTCCTAGGTATTTTATTCTCTTTGTAGCAATTGTGAATGGGAGTTCAGTCATGATTTGGCTCTCCGTTTGTCTGTTATTGGTGCATAGGAATGCTTGTGATTTTTGCATATTGATTTTTTATACTGAGACTTTGCTGAAGTTGCTTATCACCTAAAGGAGATTTTGGGCTGAGATGATAGGGTCTTCTAAATATACAATCATCTGCAAATAGAGACATCTGTAAATAGAGACAATTTGACTTCTTCTTTTCCTAATTGAATATCCTTTATTTCTTTTTCTTGCCTGATTGTTCTGGCTAGAACTTCCGAATAGGAAGGGTGAGAGAGGGCACCCTTGTCTAGTGCCAGTTTTCAAAGGGAATACTTCCAGTTTTTGCCCATTCAGTATGCTATTTGCTGTGGGTTTGTCATAAATTGCTTTTATTATTTTGAGATATGTTCCATCGATACCTAGTTTATTGAGAGTTTTTAGCACAAAGGGCTTTTGAATTTTGTTGAAGGCCTTCTCTGCATTTATTGAGATAATCATGGGGTTTTTGTCTTTGGTTCTGTTTATGTGATGGATTACATTTATAGATTTGCGTGTGTTGAACCAGCCTTGCATCCCCAGGATAAAGTCTATTTGATCATGATGGATAAGCTTTTTGATGTGCTGTTGCATTCAGTTTGCTAGTATTTTATTGAAGATTTTTGCATCGAGGTTCATTATGGATATTGGCCTGAAGTTTTCTTTTTTAGTTGTGTCTCTGCCAGGTTTTGGTATCAGGATGATGTTGGGAAACCAACTCTTTGATAATGTCAGGATACTGGCTTGTTCTGGAACAGTTTAAGTTGGTAAGAAAAAAAGTGCTTTGAAAAGAAACAAAAATTTTTTTTAAAGTAAGAAAATGCTTTAGGTGTGGCTAGGGTTCACGTGTGTCTTGGTTTGTTCCTGCCAAAATATACATTATTTTAATAATATCAACATATTTTGATTGGCAACTATTTTATTTTTTAGCGTTTCCCTATCTGAAGCCCATGCACGACTGAACTTAAGGAATGAAGTGCGTAAAGAAGATGTGCTGATTGCAGCCTTGCTATTTGAAACATCCCTCACATTGAAATATGGTAATGGATTAAATTATTAATGATCACTACAAATAACTTTATTTAAACTTAAATATTCTTAGTTAAAATGTTACGTATATTTTTAAAATATTATTTTAAAGAATAATAAATCTCCACCAGGTAAGGCCTGTTTTAATTTGGACATTTATTAACTGTTTCTGGATAGTGTCATCATCTGATATTAAATTCCTTATTATGCATGATTGTCGTCATATTTAAACTTTTGCATTGCTTAAAGAATTTTGGGGGACTCCCCGGCGCCGCTTGTGGGGGGCCCAAGACCTTCTGATCGAGGCCCAGCCCGTGTATGGTGTGAGGCCGGTAGCGGCCCCCGGCGCGCCGGCCCGGGTCTTCCCGGAGTCGGGTTGCTTGGGAATGCAGCCCAAAGCGGGTGGTAAACTTCATCTAAGGCTAAATACCGGCACAAGGCCAATAGTCAACAAGTACCGTAAGGGAAAGTTGAAAAGAACTTTGAAGAGAGAGTTCAAGAGGGCATGAAACCGTTAAGAGGATCTCCCTCTGTTTCACCACGGTCACCAGGCCGGTCTCGAACTCCCGACCTCGTGATCCGCCCTGACCTCATGATCACGGCGTCGACCACCCCTCCCTGGACTCAGGTGATCTCCGCCTCCAAGTAGATGAGACTACAGGGTTTTCGTAAGCCCGGGAGGTGGAGGTGGGGTCGGCTGACAGCTCCAGATGATCTCAACCTTTTGCGCTCCAGCCATCCTCCCAGGTCGACCTTTCAGACTGCTGCGATGACAGGCGTGAACACTGAACTGGCCTGGTCGTATTTGTCTTGTGTGTTCCTTTTCAATCCTTGTTTCCGGTCCGGATGCATAGTTGATAGTACGGGCGTTGCAAACAAAGACAATTTTCATACACATCTCACGATCCTGCCTTTTCTTTCCAGTGCCACAAGCCCCATCGAGGGTGGCGTGCCTGATCTCTGATGGTTTTATATAGTGTAGAAAGCGTTGGCGTTGGCCGCGTGCACCTTTTTTTTTTCTTTTTTGACGGAGTCTCTCTCTCTGTTGCCCAGGCGCAACCCCCGCCTTCTGGGTTCAAGCGATTGATTCTCCTGCCTCAGCCTCCACAGTAGCTGGGACTACAGGCACCTGACACCACGCCTGGCTAATTTTCCTATTTTTAGTAGAGACGGGGTTTCACCACGTGGACTACGATGGTCTTCACCTCTTGACCTCATGATCCTTCCACCTCTGCCTCCCGAGGCTTTGGCGGTGGGATTTCCATGGGACAGGCATGCATACATGCGTGCGTGTGAACTGACAGGGCTTTCCAGATCCATGTCCTGGCAGATGTCTCTGGTTCGGCGTCTCCCATAGGCGGCCTGACTTTTATTATTATTATTATTATTATTATTATTATTATTATTTTCTCTTTTAAGCTGGGCTTGCCTTCCCACCCATGTTGCTCAGTTGCTCATGCTGGCCTCGAACTTATGGCCGATTTCAACTTTAGTATTATTATTGTTGTTGTTGTTCCTATTATATTCACGAGGTATGTGGGGAAGCTACTGCTACTTAGCTGTGTAGGAAACTCTGTTCTTAGGACAAATTTTCATACTCCGGGAAAATTTCCCCTTCAAATGAGCATCTCTTGAAAGATGGAAACGATTCAAAAAATAAAGAGAAAGACAAAAAAAAAAAAGAATTTTGGGGGAAAAAGTACTTAATACAACACATAAAATGATTTTAATTTATTTTCCTTTTTAAAATAACATGCAACATTTAGGTATCAAACAATCCCCCATAGTGGAGTTAGGCAAGATAGCAAAAGAAAATCTGATCATTGGCCAGGCGCAGTAGCTCATGCCTGTAATCTCAGCACTTTGGGAGGCCGAGGTGGGCGGATGACAAGGTCAGGAGATCCAGACCAATCTGGCCAACATGGTGAAAACCCATCTCTACTAAAAATACAAAAATTACCTGGGCGTGGTGGCCTGTGCCTGTAGTCCCAGCTACTCATGAGGCTGAGGCAGGAGGATCGTTTGAACCTGGGACGCAGAGGTTGCAGTGAGCTGAGATCATACCACCGCACTCCATCCTGGGCAACAGAGTGAGACTCTGTCAAAAAAGAAGGAAGGAAGGAAGGAAGGAAACCTGATCATCTTGTATCAATACCTTCACTGAATAGCTAGTTTTAATACTATGTCTATAGCATTTGATTTTTTGAAATGAATGGCACTTGTTATGCTTTTGCTAATAAACATACGAAAGGTAAGAGTAAGGAGAATTATTCTCCCAAAGTTCTTAGTTGAATTAGATAAGACACTAATTTTTTTTTTTTTTTTTTTGAGACAGCATCTCACGCTGTGGCCCAGGCTGTAGTGCAGTGGTGTGATCTCGGCTCACTGCAATCTCCGCCTCCTGGGTTCAAGTAATTCTCCTGCCTCAGCCTCCTGAGTAGCTGGGACTACAGGCACCCACCACCATGCCCAGCTAATTTTTTTCTATTTTTAGTAACAACGGGGTTTCACCATGTTGGCCAGGCTGGTCTTGATCTCCTGACCTCGTGATCCCCCTGCCTCAGCCTCCCAAAGTGCCGGTATTACAGGTGGGAGCCATCGCGCCTGGTCGAGATATTAATTTTGATTAGCAATACCATTCTTCACACCAAACCTTGGTTCCGACCCTGGGACTTAAAGAATGAATTAACACTAGCTTTTCTATATGTATGTGTTGGTGATTACATTTGCTTTAAATTACATTTATATTGTAATACCAGTTTGCAAAGATCCATTAGAACTTTGTTCTATAATTGTCTAAAGCTCTATAAATTTTTCCATAATTGTCTTTGTTCTATAATGTCAAGCATTCTTAACCTAGGATCCATAGATGCTTGATATAGGGGCTTGTAAATTCCTAAATTATATACAAATGTATATATATGTATGCCTTATACATTTTTCCCTAGGATCATGTTTTTCATTTCAATTTGTTTTATTTTATTTCTTTTTTTTTTTTTTTTTTT